AGAAAGAGGAACACTGATGGAGCAAGGACCTGAATTAGGAGCCAAAGTAGAATAGTCAGTCTCATATCACTGATGCTGATGATAGCTAAAGAAATGACATGGAGACTACACTACTGTGCATACCTGGAATCAAAGCCAAGGTACCTTACCCAACCAACACCTAGGAACCAACCACCTAATGGAGTAAATCTTTTACCATAAAAGTCATCCTATAAAATTGGTAGAGACAACTGTTTCATCAGATGTGCAAATATCAACAAAGGGACACAAGAAACATGAAAAGCAAAGTAGCATGATACCCACAAAGAAACACAATAATGCTCCAGCAGCAGACCACATAGGGAAGGAAATCTATAAAATACCTGAGAAAGAACTGAAAATAATGATCCTAAGTAAAATCAGCAAGACACAAGACAATACAGATACAGAATTTAATGAAATCATGGAAACATTACATAATCTTAGTGAGAAATTCAAGAGAGATATCATTTAAAAAAGAACCAAAGAGAAATCTCAGAGTTCAAGAATTCAAACAAAGAAGTAAAAACTACCATCAGAGTTTCAACCACAGACTAAATCAAGCAGAAGAAAGAATTTCTGATGAGACAACCCTGTAGGTAACACAGTGGTTAAGCACTGTGCAGAGGAAGCCAAATCCCACATGGTCAAGTGGCATTCAAATTCTGACCCCTGGCTAGCTCTAATTATATTAGATAAAATAAACTTAAAGTCAAAATCTGTAAAAAGAGACAATGAAAGTCATTTTATAATGAATGAGAAATGGGTCAACGAGCAAGAGGACGTAACAGTGATAAATATATTAGGTTGTCAGAAAAGTCATGAGTATTTCTTTATATTTTTCTATGCAAAGATGCATCATGACTTTTTTGACAATCCAGTATATAAAACAAATATTATTAGGTCTAAAAGGAGAAACAAGGTTGGCTCAGTGATGCATTGAAGTTAAGTACTGTTCGTAGAGAAATGGATCCCACATGGTCAACTGCAGTTTGTATCCCAGCCCTGGAAGTTTGAAAAACACACCAGGCATGTGTGCAGACATGTCCAATCCTGAAAGGATGGAGAAAACAGGATTGCAGTATGACCACGTCCCCTTGGGGAGTGTTTTCTCTCTCTCCCTCCCTCTTTCTCTCTCTCATACACATGTATGTGCAAGCACACACACCCTTTAATTAAATAAAGTAAAAAATAAAAATGTCTTGAAACAAATGAAAATGGTAACATAACTTGTTAAACCTATGGAGTACAGCAAAAGCAGTACTAAGAAGGAAGTTTATAGCAGTAAATAGCTACATTGAATATGTAGAAAGATTTCAAATAACCCAAAAGTGCACCTCAAGGAGATAAAAGTGCAGAGACTAGCAGATGACATAATGATTATGTCACTGGACTCCCACATGGTCAACTGCAGTTCGCGTCCCAGATGCTGTGGCTTAAAACCTCACGCTGGGTAGAACATTGGTTCTGGAAGCTCAGGACTGAGTGCAAGTATCAAAGAATCATCATGATTATTCAGAGACTCTTCAGGTTCTCCATTATTCAATCAGCAGTTTCAGTCCATTTATGGAGGAACATTGTGGTATTAAATACCACAGCAGTGGTATTTAATAAGGAACATGATCCTGTACAGAAACTTTTTGTGGACAAGATTAGAGAATACAAATCTAAACAACACACTGCTGAAATACCTGTTAATACTGGCCCAGAATATCAGCAAGATCTGGAGAGGGAGCTTTTAAAGCTGAAGCAAATGTTTGGTAAAGCAGACATGAACACATTCCCTAACTCAAGTTTAAAGATTCCAAATTTGAAATCATTGATAAACCCCCATCCTGAAGAAGTAAAGTAACATTAACCCAATAATCTGTGATGAGTCAGTTGTACAACTACAAAAGTATCAGAATAAATATACATTTCACAACTGTCAAAAAAATAAAATAGAATAAACTCATACACTGGGCACATGTATGTTCACACCTAAGATCCGAAGAGGAAAATGGAGAAGGGATTGTGACATGGCCATCCTCCCTGTGGGGTGGGAGGGTGGGGGGAATGATTTTTCACTTTCTGTCTCTGTCTCTCTGGCAAGTGCCTGCGCCCTATAGCAAAAATCTCTCTCAAAAAAATAAATAAATAAATAAAACCAAGTGCAAACCAAACCTAAAATACGTAGAAAGAAAAAAAAAATGAGAGCAAAAATAAATGAAGTTGAGACTAAGAAAAAAGAAAAAATAGTTGAATGGAGCAGAGTCCCTGCTCCATCCAACTCTTTTGAATAGAATTGGGTTGATTCATCATGGTTTGGCGAAGCAGAGCCAGAGCCTAGCCAGGGCCTGGCCAAGTCTGAGCTGCTGCTGCAGCCACTGCCACCATTTTAACAAAGTGTTAAGTCTGGGGTTCATACCATGGCTTCCTGCCCTCATTCACCGTCAGGAGAGAAAGAGAGAGCATTCTTGGGACAATTTATACCTGCCAGTATTAGCAAGAGCTTGAGTTAAAAAGAAATTTGTTTTATTCAATAAATTGAACTTTGACACCTTAAGAGTTATAATTACTGACCAAAAATAAGGACAGACTTAGACTTGGAAGAGGTATGCTGGGACTGGGCCAGCATCCACCTGTAGTGGACACAGCAGAACAAGTCTATATCTCCTCTCCGACACTGTTAAAAATGTTAAAATATAGCCATGAATTCCAATGGAAGTTATGGATCTGATGTTTGGAGAGTTTGTTGATGATTACACTGTCAGGGTGATTAATGTGTTTGCTATGCCACAGTCAAGAACAAGTGTCAGTGTGGAGGCAATTGATCCAGTGTTCCAAGCCAAAAGTTTAGGTATGTTGAAGCAGAAAGACAGGCCTGAGATGGTTGTTGGTTGGTATCACAGTCACTCTGACTTTAATTGGCTTTCTGGTGTTGGATACCAACACTCAGAAGAGCTTTGAAGCCTTGTTGGAGAGAGCTGTTGCAGTGGTTGTATATCCCACTCAGAGTATAAAAGGAAAGGTTGTTATTGACACCTTAGATTGATCAATACTAATATGATGGTCTTAGGATATGAACCAAGACAACTTCAAATCTGGGTCACTTAATCAAGCCACCTACCCAGGTATTAATTCATGGATTGAACAGACACGATTACTCCATTACTAATAACTATCAGAAAAAGGAACTGGAATAAAAGATGTTGTTAAATTTGCATAAGAAGAGTTGGATGGAAGTTTTTTAAAATTATTTAATTTTATTTATTATCATGATTTTTTTTTTATTTGCTATAAGCACACATGTGCACCAGAGAAAGACAGAGAGGGAAAATGAGAAAGCAAGCCACCAGGTGTGAGACTTGAACAATGGTCGGCCATATGGGAATCCAGCACCTTAACTACCACACACCTGCTGGCCCTGGATGGAAGTTTTGACACTTCAGGACTACAGTGAACATTGTAAACACAGTGAATCAGTGGTAAAAGAGATGCTGGAATTAGCTAAGAATTACAATAAGGCTGTAGAAGAAGATAAGGTGACACCTGAACAGCTGGCAATAAGGAATGTTGTTGAAAAGGACCCCGAAGGCCATTTAGAGGAACATGTGAATGTACTCATGACTTTGAATATTGTCCAGTGCTTAGCAGCTAGGTTGGATGCTATCATGTTTAAATAAGGCAACCCATCTCTATCACTTTCTAATATTTTATATGTTCCAATTATTTATTTTCTGTCACCCAGTGAAAGGATGTAAGCTCCCTTAGGGCAGGACTTTCTGTCTCTTGTTTGGTGCACCAATAGAGAGTCTGGTACATCAACTCAATGATTATTTTTTGAATGAATAAATTCCATTTTAAAGGTGAGGGAATTCAAAAAAAAAAAAAAAGAAAAAAGAAAAAAAAAAGTGAGGGAATTCAAACACAAGGAAGTTAAGTAAGTTAGGGAGCCAGAACGTGAACTCAGGCAGTCTGAGTTCATGATCCTAATCTAGAGTCCATAATGCTAATCATTATTCTAACCATGGATAAAGATAGGAAGCCTTTTGGGGTGGGAGGTATTTCAAATTACCAAAAAAGGTGGGAGCTGGATAAGAAGGCCATGCTCTATGGTCAGAATCAGCCACAGAAAATGAACGACGTAAAACTGGATACTACTAACATAGGAACTAGGTCATTATTATTTTGCACTTCTCCCCCACTCAAAGCAAGCAAACAATTTACGTTCTTTCCTTGCTCTTTATTATTATTATTTTTTTTTAAATAAAGTAACTATAATTTATTTGGAGTAGATAATTCTTGTTACCAAAACTTATTCACAAGGAAACCCAAAACAAAAGTGACATAAAGAAGCCAAATTAGACTTCTGATGCTAGAAAAAAGTAGAACGCAAGACAGTGTCATTCAATCTCTATGGAGGTCTAAAAATCAGAAGAGACTTTTTTTTTTTGAGAGATTTTCACTATAGGGCACGTGCGCTCGCCAGACAGAGAGAGACATAGAGACAGAAAGCGAGAAATCACCCCCCAGGGGGGATGGTCACGCCGTAATCCCTTCTCCTCCATTCTCCTCTTGGGATCTTGGGCATGCACGCACACACGCCCAGCGTGAGTTCTAAGCCATCGGGTCCGGGACACAAACTGCGGTCAACTATGTGGGAGTCCAGCGACATAGCCATTACGCTAACTGCTGGTTCCCAGAAGAGATATTTTAAAAGCATATCTATGAGAGTCTGGTATACCAGCTATATTGAAAACCAGCAACAGCTGGAGATATCAAGGGAAAGTGGGTTGTGGGCAATGAGAGAGAAGAGGCAGTACTTTTAGGACACTAGAATATATGCCTGAGGAATAGCAAAATAGTTAGCAAAATAGCATATGAAAATATATTTTCTATGAACTCTATCTTAAATAGATGCTTTTGTAAAAATTCAAAAATTGTATTACATTTTCAGAGCTAGTAAATCTGTTGCAAATCTGTCATGGAAGCAAACTCACCTCATTAGCACTAATATCTACACCTGCATATGGTATGACAGACAGAAGACTAGGAATAAAGCCTTTGTAAAAGCCACTAATCTTTTCAAACTTCCAAATCTTCCTGGCACAATCCACCATTCCAGAGTACTGTCCAGTTTTACTTATGTTCAAGTTAGTTTTTAAAACCTGAATGTGAAAGAGAGTAATACTGTAAGGTTATTGATCAGTTATCCAACCCAAAATATTCTGGGCTAAATTAAATTTAAATTGTGCACTACAGAACTCATCCATTATTAAAGAATAAAAGGAAAGCAGGGTCAGCAGATGGCACGGAGGTTAGGGTGACTGTATCCCACGTGCCAACTTCACAGTTCCAATCCCAGACCTGGCAGCTTGAAAATCATGCCAGGTACATGTGCATGCATGCCCAAAATCCAAGAGGAGACTGTAGGAAAAGGGACTGCAGAGTGGCCATCCTCCCTCTGAGATGGGGTGTGATTTCTCACTTTCCCTCTCTCTCTGTTTCTCTCTGGCAAATATACATGCCCTACAACAAAACTAAAAGAAAATTTAAATTAAAATGTTAAAAAAAGATGAAGTGGACTTGGTTCCAACAGTATTTTCTTTCTTTTTGGGGTAGTGGGGGAGAGGTTTTTGCTATAGGGCACGTGCGCTCACCAGAAAGACAGACAGAAAGCAAAAAATCACCCCCCCGGGGGGATGGCCACACTGCAATCCCTTCTCCTCCATTCTCTCAGGATCTTGGGCACTCATCTTGGGCTCTCACACACATGCCCAGCGTGAGTCTAAGCCACCGGGTCTGGGACTTGAACCGCAGCCAACTACATAGGAATCTAGTGACATAGCCATTATGCCAACTGCTGGTGTCCCACAGTATTTTCAACAACAGCATATTTATAAATTTTCTTACTGCTCCCTGGAATATATTAGTTTCCCATGGAACTGTTTTACAAATACAGTGCTTAAATGCTTTTGCCAAATTTCTGAGTTAAACTTTATAGGAAGAGAGAGTATCTGAGTTAAGCACTATCTTTCTTTTTTTTTTTTTCTTTTTTTTTGGGGGGGGGGGGGGTTTTTTGTTTTTTTTTTTTTTTGGGGGGTGGGTTTTTTTTTTTTTTTTTTTTTTTTTTGGGGGGTGTGCGCTTGTCA